AAATGGGTGAAATGGGTATAAGCTTAGTCAGGGGAGATTCTGGTTGGATGTTAGAAAGTATTTCTTCTCTGAAAGGATTGTCAGCCGCTGGAATAGGCTGCCCAGGGAGGTGGTTGAGTCCCCATCCCGGGATGTGTTTAAGAATAGGGTGGATGAACTACTTAAGGATATGGTTTAATGGGAGATTAGGGACGGTTGGGCTGGGTGATCTCTAAGGTCTTTTCCAACCTAGAAATCTATGAAATCTATGAAACCTCAAATAAGAAAGGAAAGCTGTTTTCTAAACTTAAAAAAAACCCAAACCAAACCCCAACTTATATTCTAGACTTAAAAGCATTTTTTATCTCTTCAGTGAGGTTTGTTTTGGTGTTTAGTTTTTTTCAAATAAAGCAGGTCAAAAAGATGACTTCACGTCTTATCTGCTAAAGTGTTATGGTGAATAGTAGGTTACCAACTGCAGTAGGCTGGAGCAATACAGTGTAACTAGAGATTACTGTGAAGCTAATTATATGGGACGACACTTCAAAGAAACTAAAATACTGCCAGAATGTCAGTTTTAAAAAGAAGTAAAGATAAATAAGTCGCATGTTTTCAGGCTAATTATTAAAGGAATATCTGAAAGGTGGCTATTAATAGCAGTTAAATAGCTATTAAATTGCAAGTTAATAGCAGCTTAAAAACCCAACTTGAAGTATGCTCCTGTATATTAAAGAACAGAAACTTCCAAAAATTGAGAATCTTGATATAAAACTGGAAGATACTAAATATCATTATATGTGGTTAATAGATGTTTTGAGAGATGCCATGGTGCAAGCTTGTAAACCAGAAAGATAAATATGCATTGTTGTGTGTTTAGTTTCAAACAGGGATTGTCTGTATTAAAATGTAGTTGTGTTCTCAAAACCAAATATCCAAGGTTTATGGTTGGAGTGATCTCCAGCTCCCAAAAATGGAGACCTGGACAGTGTCAGAAGAGACCATTTAATCTTGATGCAGTAACAGATAATGAGGTTTCTCTGGACTCCCTGGCAGATGTTTAGTCTTAAAATTCTCCATGGAATGCAATTCAGCAGCTCTCTGGGTGTTTAATTTGCCTATCGAAGTTTTTGACAGTATGTTCTGCATCTTCCATATTTCCAGAATAACCTGATATCTTTTATTTTTCCCAAAGTAGGCACCTTGAACTACCATTTGGTACAGTCTTTGTAAAAATATCTTGCATGTTTTCATTTTAGATCTAAACAATCTTTGTTCTTTTTAGCCTGACTAAAAAGTGGACTGCTTCATTCTTGCTGATTGTTATTAAAAATGTTAGTTTCTGTGCTTTACATATACCATCTAAATTGGAAATAGTATTCCAGCTATGAACTGTTAGGTATTCACAAAGATCTCTCCGGCTATTTTCCTTTGATCTCATTAACTTTGGACATGTCTCCAGTTTGGGACCAGCTTGCCAGTATTGAAGCTGTGTTAACCACTGCAGCCTGTTTCAGTGTCATCTACAGACCCTGTGAAAGTGTATTGTACTCTTCTATTGTTTGTAGTGAGGATTGTTGGAACTGTGGAACAGAACTAAACTTGGGATGTGTTTCAATAGGAAACATAGAGCTTTTTTTCTGACTACTGTAAAGCTTTATGAAAAGTAAGAGCTTTCACTTGCTTCGTCTCTTGTATATGTGGGATTGTGTTGATGTGTTAGTTTTTCTGTCAATTGCCTGTTATCTTTTTACCTGGTTCTTATCTTCTAAAACTATTTTAATTTTCAGGTTTAATTTTTATTTTCATAACTACTTTCAAAACTGTAGTAATTCTTCTTTTCCTAAAGAAAGATAGGTTTTATTGTTACTTTGTTTTTATTCAAACATGCTGACTTGGGCTAGTTTAATCTGTGTGGTTTTGTTTGTGCTCTGGTTTTTCTAACCAGAAAAAGTAGTACTTGCACATGATTTATATAACTACTTATACTGGTAAACAACAGTTACTGAAATTCTTAAATTTTATTATGTATGTTACTGTGAATGATTTTTTGTTGTTGTTCTGTGCTGTCTTGAGGGAAGAACTGAAATAATTTTAGAAGTTATTAAATAACAAACTTAAATGATACTGCGTTTATTATTGCATATTAAGGAGTTTGTTATTACATACATATTTTGCCTAATATGTGTGTGTTAAATGTTAGTGAATGGAACATAGTGTTGATGTCCGATGTGCTCTTCAGAGCTGTAAAACTTACAGATGTTGTCTTGAACCTGTTGTTATCCATCAATGTATGGAAGAAAAACGTTTTTTCTGCTTTTTCAGTTCATAATCGATTTCTCAGTTTCACATGGCCTAACTGTTTGATTTCAGTATTTTGAATAAATTGTCTTGAAGCAGTAGAACAGACTGCTGTCAGAGAGTAATTTAACACTGTAGTATACTTTGTTTTGAGGAGGAAGTGAAGGACCTGACTGGGTTAGTAAATTATGTTCCTTTAAAAATTAGGCATTAAAGCATGTTATTAATACTACTGTTTTAGTCAATTAAGGTTAATTTAAGTTCTTAGATAACCTAAGACTTAACATAGCTTTCTAATTAAAATCTTAGTGGTTTTTTTTAACAATTAGGTATTTCTTTTAAGTTTGCATATTCTTAAAGATGGTTATTTTTAAAAAATTTTCTTGGTTTTGATAACAGGTAGATTGTTCCAGTTTTTATTGGTGGATGTTTATGGTATATGAATTAAGTCAAAATACTGACTGCGTTTTATTCTATGTCCTAGGTGATTTGCAAGTCAGATGCTCCAACAGGGGATGTTCTGCTTGATGAAGCTCTGAAACACATAAAAGAGACCCAGCCTCCTGAAACAGTACAAAATTGGATTGAGCTGCTTAGTGGTAAGCCTTGGACATAATGTATTTGCTTTTTTTTCCTGAGTAAAGCTAATTATCTGGCATCACTAGAGATTCTATTGTAAGGTTTTTGGGGAGCGTTGTTAACCCGGCCAGCAACCAGACACAATGCAGCCACTCGCTCACCCTCCCCCACCCCCAGGGGATGGGGGAGAGAATCAGAGGAGTAAAGGGAGGGAGGTTGTGGGTTGACATAAGAACAATTTAATAACAATAAAAAAGTAGTAACAACAAGCATAATAATAATAATATACAAATGAGTGATGCACAGTGCAGTTGCTTATTACCTGCTGACCAACACTCATCTCATCCCCGGCAGGCGATCCCAGAGGAGAGAAATCTCAAAATCGTAATCCCGGAAAAGAGAGTGAGCTTCCTGGCCAGCCCTTGTCTATATACTGAGCATGATGTTGTGTGATATGGAATATTCCATTGGCCAGTTTGGGCCTAAGCCCACATTCTAAGCCAGGGATTGTGGGTCCAGTGCTCTGGTTATGCTCCCTCCCAGCTTGTTGTGCACCTGCACACTGGCAAAGCATGGGAAGTTGAAAAGTCCTTGATTTCTTTGCAACAACTAAAAATATCAGTATATTATCAACATTCTTATCTTACCAAATCCCATGCTAAATCCGAAGGCCAGTGGTATTCTAGCTATTAAGAAGAAAACTAACTCTATCCCAGCCAAAGCCAGGACAGGGAGAAAGTATGCAAAAAAGTTACATAGTCAGTACTGTAGGGTAGTCTCTTGTTGATGGCAACCTTTAATCGAGTATAAGTAACTGTTGCTTTTTGACTTGACTTAGCACAGAAAGGATCTAGATGGAAGTGTCAGAGGACATCTTAACTCTGTGGAAGAGGTGCGTTCCACTAACTCTGAAGTAAATCAGGACTGCACCCTGGAGATACAGCTGCCTTTCTCTGTAATTGGAAATGAGGGTTAGTTAAAGTTTGGAGAATAGGTGTATGGGTTTAGTGTTCAGATCTTTGTCAAAAGAAAGGCAATAAGGAGCTCACTGCTCAGATGTAAAAACTGAGAATGATTTGGCCATTAATCATAAAGAAACAAGCAGTCAGGAGTTCTATTTTTCCATTAACTGGGGAAGCGTAATAAGTGTTTTCAAATATTAGATACTCCTTGTTATTCAAAACAAGGTTTTCAAGGTGAGTACTTTGCACACAGCTCTTCCTGTAAAGCTAGTAAGTTGTTGCCAAATAAATGAAAGGTCAATTATATTTCATCTTTACAGTTGCAGTTAACATTTTTTCATACACCTTGCCAACAGTTGTATCCTCAGGATGCATAAATTAAACTGAAATTAACAAAGACCATCTTTCGACATGTAGTGCTTTCATTGTTTTGGGTTTTTTTTTTGTTTGTTTGTTTTTTCTGTAGCCAAAACTCATCACCGGGGTTTGTCTGTTTTTACAAAACACATCAAATGCAGCTTTTTTGCAGTGGATCGGGGCAGTACTTCAGTTGCGAAAACAGTGCAGGAAAAAAACTCACTGTTCTGTCAACAACAGGACTCTGGGAGTTACAGGGTAATAAGATTCCAAGTAGTCTGTCTAAATCTGTTCGTTACTTGTAACAACCAATAAGTAAGAGTTTCAAAAATGGGCTGGATCTCTCCAGTTTTCTCTGCCTTCTTATTTTCGTTACCTTCTTCCCTTCAGTCCTGTGCCACCTTAAGCATCCTTCCTTGCACATCAGCTCGTACTCCTGTCCCTGCCTCCCTCCCCTTTTGCTCCGTGACCGTTGGGCAGCGCAGGGTGAGAGGAGAGCAAAGCAGCCCTGGTGAGCAGGGGGCATGGCTGCTGCATACCCTTGCAGCTTAGTTCTTGTTCAGCTCTCCTTCACTTTTACAGCCCGCAAAAAAAAAAAAAAAATTCGTTTTTCTTGTCCCAAATACGTAATTTGTGCTGACGTCTCACCTTCTCTCCCAGTGCGGAGCACATCAAGTTAGTGCTGATTCGAAAAAGGTCAGCTAATGAATGAACAATGTTGTAGGTTTTTCCTGAGCTGAGCTAACGTTTTTCTGACCCTGCTGAGCTTTGGCTCTGGGAAGATAGTTATCGTCAGTGCTGTGGCTAGGACTTGAATCAATCATTTTTGCTTAGAACTAGTTACTAGTTCTTGGATGGCATTAGGGTTCTTTGCACTTCCCATAGCTTAAGGAACTGCCCTTTGAAGAAAAATATTTGGTGTTTTGGTTTGGACTTTTTTATTTATAAACTCTCTTAGAATTTTGGTTTAGGGCCTGATGCTGGAAAATAGCTCTTCTGTCCATAATTATCAGGTATGTGAAGGGTGCTGCTTGAAGTTGCGGAACATAGGAGTTCAAAGCCATCATGGAAATATCTGTATGGATGTGTAAGGCGAAGTTTGCCAGGCTGATGTTGTTTATAAGATAGCCTCTAAGGGAAGCAAGTTTATGGAATACAGAAGCTTGGATCAAAACATCAGGTCTTCCTGTAGATGTAACAAACATCCGTCTGTGTTTGAAGCAAGTGTCTGTGTAATTGAGGGACTTGGTCACAAGGTGTCACCACAGTACTGATTTCTATTACTGTATGGCCACATCCACCTAAAAGATGTAGAAAAATCTTTGCCCTGTGAAACACTGTAAGGAAACCACTGGTTTTGTGTGAGTGTGATAGTTTCATTCATGCTGAACCTGGGGAATCGCATTCAATGAGAAGTGGGGCTTAGAGAGACTTGTGTGCTTCAGGCCTGGGTGCATTCCCTGCCTTTCACTATGCAGTGAGTGTTGCCTCATTTGTTTACTTAACTTGGCCATTACTTGGACACGGTGTATGTCACCTTCCATCACAATGGGAGAAACTTAGTCGTCCGTGGTTTATATTATTATTGTATGTTAACCAATGAATTTTTAAAAAGCTCTCTGATACAGAAACACATTGATACAGGAATTCTTTGTCATTTGTAGAAAACCCTTATCTATGTAATGAGTACTTAATGTTGTTTCTTCTCTCGCCTCCGAAAATGCATAGACTCCTTTATGGCAGGAGGGGATTTTAATACTTACGATAAATACTTAGGTAGGCTGGACGTAAGATTTTTAGCGTGTTAAGTAAACTCTTAAGCAAAGGTGGATTTCTCAATGCTTAACTGTTCTATCAGTAGCTGTTGATGCTGATTTTGTGCTTTTAAAATTCTCTTCTCTTTGTACACACAGTCACACACTCTGAAGGGCCCAACTCTCCTGCCTTAACAAAAAGTATTAGAAATAATTTTTATAGAAACATTAAAGCCCCTGACCAACATGTGCTCACCTGTACACACCAGCCCCACCCCCCAGGCATGGTCACTCTTTCACCTGGTGGGGGCAGGAAGGGAAAGAAGAATGAAAACCTGAAGAAGTAGAAAAATGAACAGAGTAGGTTGTCCATTAGCTTGTCTCTGGCAGAAAGGAAGGCAATGACACTACTTCCAGTCTCTGAAATGGTAGAAGGCTGGAAGAAGACAAATAGACAGGATTGGAGGAGATGCTTGTGGTTTTTTTCATTATTAAAAGTAAATTCTTTCTTCATGACTGGTTTGGGTTTTGTTTTCTTCAGTACAAGACAGCTTATTTGTCATATCCTTAATCAAGACCTTGCTTAGCTAGCATTTCATCCGAACTTTAAACGTGCGCTGAAGCTCCCCCAAGGAGGCTGTCATGGTCTGTGTCTCTATGCTTATATTTGGGTAGGTCAAAGATCAGAGAAGTGCTGATGTTAGCACAGTATTTTAGTGTGATGGTCAGCCCTACGAATTTGACAGCTCATTCTACGCCACAGTGGGGAAATCACTGTCATAGTACAGCTTAAACTTTGCCTGACTGTTGGGTTTTTTCTTGCTTTTTTAGGTGAAACATGGAACCCGTTGAAGTTGCACTACCAACTACGAAATGTCCGTGAACGATTAGCTAAAAATCTAGTGGAAAAAGGTGTACTGACAACAGAGAAACAGAACTTCCTTCTTTTTGACATGACTACGCACCCTCTCACCAACAACAATATCAAACAGCGCCTCATCAAGAAGGTTCAAGAAGCAGTTCTTGACAAATGGGTGAATGATCCTCACCGCATGGACAAGCGCTTGCTGGCACTTGTTTATTTAGCCCATGCTTCAGATGTTCTGGAGAACGCTTTTGCCCCTCTTCTGGATGAGCAGTATGATTTAGCCACAAAGAGAGTGCGGCAGCTCCTGGATTTAGACCCTGAGGTTGAATGTATGAAAGCCAACACAAATGAGGTTCTGTGGGCTGTTGTAGCAGCTTTCACAAAATAACTGCATTCAGACTGAAGTGTTCTCTCTTCTTTCATGTAAACCAGTTGTTTCCTCTTCTATTGACTATTCATGTTTTCTGTAATTTGTACCTTCTCACATGATGAATCGGCTCTTGTTTAATGGGAATTATAAGTGGTGTATTCCCTCCTTCTTTGTGTATCTGTACACAGGATTCTGCTGGTACAAGAGAACTTCCTGTTTAAAAAACAACAGAAAAAGGCTTTACTGCCATATTGGCATTCCATTTCCTCTTCAGTTAGTTATCCGAAATACTTCGTTTAATCTGTTTTTCATGATATTGTTATTGAAGTGGTTTAACATGGAAAGCACCTCAAGGAGGAAATGTGCATGCAGTTGGATGACTAGTCTCAGTTGACACAGATGTGTGCATGCATCAATACTTCTGCAGAACAGATCGTAACAGATTGAAAAGGGCCTTTTTAAGTCACCAAAGCTCCATATTGAAGTGTCTGTCAGGACATTTTATATCCAGATGTTGTTTCAATTATATCTAACAAAATTACTTTAAGAGCAGAAATGCCAGTAAGCAACTTTCTCAATAGTTCCTGTAAAATGCTCCATAAATTTTACTTTTCATGCAAGTCTCTTGTGTACTTATATTTTCATTAGAATGATAGCTGAGTCATGGCGCTAGTATAGAAAGGTCCAGCTGTTTCATAAACCAGTTTTGGGATGGGATACATTCCATTATATTGTATATATATATTTCAAATTGTATATTAACAACTGCCCCATCTTAGTATTTTGCAAGATCTACTTAGCTGTACACCTGATGCCCCTTATTTGCTGTCAGCCATTGCCATTCGATGGAAAGAAAGGCCTCCTGTAAAGAGCATGTGTGTCAGAGCTGTTTGTTTCCAGTGTCTGCAGAGTTTGCCGTCCAGGTATTCTCAGTCAACGCATTGCCTTGGATAATTAGTGTACGGAAAGAGACCACTTTCTGTCGTTGTTTAGGCTTTTTCTTTTTCCCCCTCCTGTATGGAAGAGACTTGTGACCAGTGCAATTCTTGAGTGCAGTTTTCAATTTTGTACACGAAGTAATGTTTGTCTTTTAAAGCTCACAATCTATTTTACCCTTTAAAAATGAAAGTCAGTCCTAGCAGGTGTTGCATGTAAATGATTAGCAAGTAATGACTGCAGTTCTGACGATTAAGATTTCTGTAATCGGATGCTCTGCTATATTTTAATTTTTTATATACAATTATGCTGAGTAACACACTATTGTAAAAACAAAAACACCAAAAACCAACATAAAACTTGGCTTTTTAAAACTTATTGCCTCTTTGCCACTGCTTGTTAATCCTCCATCGACTTCACAGTGTAAATATTATGCACTGAAAAAACTAAGCATTGATTTATATTTTTTTTCTCATAACAATGCAGATTTGTAGTGGGGCTTACAGGTGTTTAGAAATTTTTTTGGTTAATATTCAGAGCAAGAATACTAGATGGTGTATAACTGTAGAGATGACATTTAAGGGATCCCTTAATCTGTATACTAGCTTTTTACCTACAGTAAATAAACTATGATCTTGAAAGTGCCTGAAACAGAGCAAGCATGTCATTTGTATTTTTTGTTGCTCATTAGAAAGGCTTTATTGCTTAACTGAAAGCTTTAGTTAATATCCTTCTTATTAGAAAGGGAGAGTTTATATTTAGTAGATCAAAGTGACCTAATCAGCACTGTTGCTCAGACCTGCGGAATTTGTGGCTGAGACAGACCGAGTTAGCTTGTGAGCGTCCAGCTGTTCCTGCCATGGGTAGACCTCTTCTGTCTTGAGCACAACTCTAAAGCCTCATCTGTGACTGGACTTCCAATTTTGCACTTCATTTTCAATCATTTAGATGCTTAAGTAGTTGACTTTAGAATACAACTTAAATTCGTCACACCTATATAACCTTTTTTTAATAAAGGTTTTTAAAATATGGTCCTTAACATTTAATGGCACACTGTTATTTCAGTTCTTAAATGCTGTTTCTTTAGAAAAATTAAAACTATATTGTAACATATTTCAAACTCTGGTTTGCAAATAAAAAGACAAACAGTGTTCTCTCAGTTGTAAGATGCTTTGTTTAAAACTTTGAGGAGCTTGGGGATGAACCGTGGACACTTTATTTTAAACATTTCTAAATATGAGTGCTTTAAGTGGCAGAAAAATGAAAGTTGCTATGTCGCTCCTGTATTTGAGAGATATAGAATACTTTCTGTACTTGACAGTATATGCTAACAGCATTCATTGTCTCTTGCTCCTGTGATGTGTTTTCTCAGTTTTTGTTGCTCTTTGAGAGGAAAGTAATAAGGTGGAAACATCAGAAAAATAGTGGAGTATTCAGGAGCAAGTTAAGTGCACAAAACTTTTGAAATGGCTTTGCAAATCTAAGCTACTTGAAACGTGCTTCAGACTGAAAGTCTCTCTCTCAGTCCCTTTTCTGTCCTCTCATCTGCATTCTGTGAGTATTTTCCATGTTCCTGCTTGTTTTGTGTTGGGTTATGGAGGATACTGGGACTTTGTCACCCTTACAGCCAACATGGTTTAAAAGCAGTCACCCTTTAATCCTTTCCAGAAAGAGGCTGGGTTTTTTCTTCCTGCCCCCCTCCCCCCAGCAATAACTGCCTACAGTATTTGCTTTATTTTGCTTAAAGATAGAACCTCGGCCTGATGGGAAGAGTTTCTGAGTCTGTCCAAGAACTTTGATGTAAATAATGAAGGTTTTGTGAAGAGCCACAGTGAGTTTTGCTTGACCACCTGGTATAAGCCCGGAGGGGCAGAGGAAATAGATGGGCTTCTGGAGTCTTGACTCCTATGTTGTGCTTTAAAAATCCCAAAACCTCATGACTGCTACGAGACCTTATGTCTAACAAGGACTGATTTAGCAAACGTCCTTTCCTTCATTGCTGTTTCAGGTTCTAATAAAATGGTTAAACATGGCAGACTACCTTATTCTGCTGAGATTCAGGTACCCGTCTTCCTGTTACCTACTACTGCAGCTCACAGAGACCTGGAGACCTGGCTTTAAGACACTTTTGGCTGCTCCAAGTCCTCAGCTCTCGATGGCTGCTTAAAGTGAAGACTGCTATCCATAACCTGAACTTGAACATATGCCTCAAGAAAGAATGTAGGTTATTCAGGGACGCATTCTTTTAAAACAAACTTTCAAGTTAATGTCAAAAACAGGATTTGAAAGTTGAATCCCGAAGCAGTATAGTTCTACAGTCTTTTAAGACTTAGGTCCTCCTGTGTTTCTGGAGATGATGTTCCAGTGCTCCTGTATGGGATGCTAGTGAAACCTGTGTGCTATACATGGTGCTTTCGAGGCGAAAGTTACGTAAATTGGCTATAAAAAGGCTGGTGACTGAGTGCTCATGTGTTCATGCCCATTTCTTCTACAAAGTGAAGATATGTATTAACTAATGTGTTCTCTGTGAACTGGACTGAATCTGTACCGAAACAAAATAAAGCACCCTTTCAAGGGAAGAGCTGCTAATGGTTACTGTGTATCACATGTGTGCAATACCTAAAGGAATCTCTGATTTTTTTTTATTTGCTAAGCAATTTTCAGTTTTTTTTCTGAGGCCTGGTCTTCCCCAGTTTGGGAAACAGAACTTTAAGATTTCCGTCAAAGCCTCAGTTCTTCCTCAATTGGGCTTCAGGCGCTTAAGGTAGTCAAAAGCTTGTCATGTCCTAGTTTCCCATGTTTTCCATCTGTCTTTCTCTATGGAAGGGATTTTCCGGCTTCAGAAAAGTACAAATTTCTTGAAAAAGTAACAATTTATTCTGTGGAAAGGCTTAGTGTGTGCAATGGTTTAATTACTCAGGAAATGAGATACTCTGAAGTGCTCTGTAAGTGTCAAATATGAAGTGTGATTTCAGGTGTGTGTAGGTGGTGGCCTGGGTAGGAGGGGAGGATCTTTAGATGGGGAGAAGAAGCATGGTCAGAGCTGCTGCCCATGTTAATCTCTGAATAAGGTCCCATTGGGTCTTATTTTCTCCTGCCTACAAAGCAGCAGCACAAAGCCTGCGGAAAGCTGACAGTAAGAAATGCCTTCTGACTTGTGAGGAGGAAGAGCTTTTGTAGAAACAGTAAGAAGAAAAGCTGGTTCCTAAGACAGCAGTTTTTTAATGCTGATGAGTTAGTAGCCTGTGGCTTTCCTCCCATCCCCCTTTCTATACTTCCAAACAATTTGCTGGTTTGGCTTTTTTCTCTTTCGAATTTGGCCCCTGGTCTTCTCTATTTCTTCTCTTTTCCCTGTTGCTTGGTGACTTCCTCTCTGATGCTTGTGAATGAACTGTACTGATTTCCAACCTCTGGTGTTTCCACTCTTGCCTTTCTACTACTAACCTTTTTTCCTTTCAGTTCTACTGTCACCTCGAGCTTGAGTCTCCATTACCTTGTTCTCAGAGCCGCTTTCCCCTCTGCTTTCATTCCCTGCCGATGCCTCAGGGAACCTCCCGTTCTTTGACAAACACGTTGGTCAATGCTGGCTGCCTTAGTGGCTGAGCTGAAGCAGCTGGCTGCCTGCTACAGCTCATACCGTGGTTTGTTAAGGTGAACAAAAGCTGATGCTAATTTACCTTGAAACTGTTCTTTGCCTGCTTCAAAAGCGAACTGGTGTCCGTGCAGCAGGGAGGACTTGCAGCTGAGGATCATGATTTTGCCAGTTCACTAATGTAGGTAGATCCTGTTCCTCAGCCAGTGCCCTAAGGACCTGCTATCTCTTACTCAAGCGTTTCCTACAATGAGAGCAGGATACACAAGAGGAATTTTCCCTTTTGGGCCCTCTACTTGTTAAAAATGTGTTGAGTTTGTGTTGCTCAAAAAAGCCTCTTCTCCATTGGGCCGTCTATTTTTATGGAAGTTGTAGATGCTCAGGTTATTTGGAAGGTTTCTTTACATCTATTTCATTTGATTAAAAGGGACAGTGAGAGAAGAAGGAGGCACAGATATACTTGCAATGTGATCACATAAGCTATTTCCTGGCAAAATAGGCTAAAATATTTTAGGTTTTCATTTTTGCTTTCTTGACTCCCAATGCATCATTCAGTTCCTTTCCATCTGGTGCATCTGATACTTGCTAGGAAAGGAGTTGCTGTCATTTGTTGCCATCACTAGTTGCCGTCACTAGTCCTTCAGGATTTATCATGTGTTGCCCCTTCCTTTTGTATACTTATCCAAGTCTCGGGGTTTTTCTCCCTTTGCCCTGGCACTGATCTTGAAGGTAGGGGTTAGGAGAAGACTTTGGTGGTTGTAAAACAAGATGGCAGGCAGTTCATAAGCTTGCTTTGCCGCTGCCAGGGCGTCTTTATAGGTCCTTCTTTGTTTCCTGTCTGTTCAAATGAAACCGAGTCATGTCTCAACGAGCCTTTAAGATCCTGCTCTGACGCCTTAAGCTCCTGAGGACCTCAGTCACTTCTGAAAAGAAGATTTAGCCAAGTCATGTATAAGTTTTGCAATGCTCAACAGAACATTGCCTTAGCACCATTAAAAATCTTCGACCTTATATTCAGAGGACTTGCAGAAGGAATTTAGCAAAACAAGATCATTTATTCGAGCGGCAATCTCGCAGTGACCCACCTCAGCTGTGACAGTAAGCAGAACTGTTCATGAGAAATCAGGTGCCTGAACAAAAATTGGTCCAAGACACCTCCTCCTGGAAAGTTCTGAGATTCCTGAGGCTGTTAACCTTATGCAATGTTCTTAATGACGTTTTGAAAAAATCTCGTAAGGGTACATGCTTCATTGCTCTTTTCACCCCTGGAGAAATTTGAGTTGGGCGTGGGCCAGAGTCTAGGAAGGCACCTGGGATGCCTCTCAGGTGATGTGGGAGCAGCTCTCCACGCAGGCAGGCCATGAACTGTCTTAGCCATGACAGACCTGAGCATCTTCCTCTGAAGGTTGCTCTCCCAGTGGTCCCACCCCAGGTGTGCCAGGGAGACCTCTGAGGTGGAAGAGTTTCTCTGAGCATA